ATTTGATTACATGATCACTACCTCTGCTGATTAGTTTTTTATGCACTTCTATCTGCTTTTATATTAAATGTATTTTTTTGTATTTTTCTCAATAGTTTTTTTTTATTTCTTTTGATATATTAATTTGACAACTTTATAGAGTGGAAACAGACTGTCGAATTAGTTCATCCTAGACTTTGATAGAACATGTTTAAAATAGTACAGTGTGAACTGCAATTTCTTTCTGGCTGGTATAAATTTATTAAGTAATATTTTTTCGTACTAAAAAGACTCAAATATCTTTTTTAATTAAATCTAACAGCCAATGGGAGCACATTTGCTACAACCTCTGCTTACTTTGGGCTAAATGTTTTTTTTTTTTTTGCTTTTTTTTCAGGTGCATAGCCAGATTTTTTTTTCTCAGAAAGCAAAGCCACTGGAACTGCATGTATTACAAAAACATACCGGTACTATTCACTGCGTGTCCTCTGTTTTTTACTTTGAGAAGTTCTGTCAACCAAAGCATAAATATGTGTTTCTCTGTACATAAAATTTCACACGATTTGTTAATATTAATGTATGATAATAAAAACTTGATAATATTTTTCTGGATTTTTGCACTTTATTTGTATCATTGTCGTATGAGAAGTAATCTTGTTCTTTTTAGAGATATTGAAACTAATCCAGGGCCACAAACTAGTTTATCCAAACAGACACAACACTGACATATTTGCAGATCTGATTTGTATACTTCCTTGTCATTTTACCTGTTGTACTGGTTTGGTGCTATCTGGTTTCCTTGCTGAGAATAATGCTGACCTGGATGGAGAGTGCTATAAACTTGAAAATGCCATAGAAATCACCTTTGCCAATTTATGTCCATGCAACTTTAGAATGACAACTAGCGAAGGCAGTGTCATTCATGACTTGTTCCCTATATTTTACATTCAACTTGTCAAAATTCAGTGAAAATAAATTCCATACAAAACACCCAAAATGTCTTTTCAGCGAAAATGAATTGCAGCTAAAATAAAGTATTTTAAAGTAAACTTCATTTTCTGTACCAGATTGTTTTCATACTTTAGATGCCTGGGCTTGTTAACTGTAATTATATTTGTTCATTTCAATTTCATGGTTATATCTCTGAATCCCGAGTGTAACGCTTATATTTTTGACATTTAACAACAGATCAATATTTGTTTTTTTTTAACCTTACCAATAACACAGGTGGACTAATTTTATCGGTATGCCCTTATGTTAATGACAGATGTCATATTTATCAATACTGTAGAATACTTTATTTTAGCTGGAATTTATTTTCGCTGAAAATACTTTTTGTGTGTATTGTACAGAATTTATTTTCAATGATTATTGACTAGTTGAATGTAAAATTTAGGGAAAAAGCTATATTTGCTGAATTTTATTTTCACTGAATCATTTTTCTCAGCGAAAATTAATTTGAAGCGAAAATAAAGTATTTTACAGTATTCTAAAGTACCATATTTATCACATTTACATGAAACTGTAGGCATGTAATACAACTCATATCACTTAATAAATAATTGATGCTTCTATTACTGTTTTAGATTCGTCGCCGTAGACTGGCACGTTTGGGTGGTGGCAGTAGTAGTAGTAGTAATAGCTCATCTTCCACCCCTACGTCATCAAAATCTGTACAGGAAACTTCACAGTCTCAATCACCACCTGTAGCACAGTCACCGAGCAGTTCACCGCTGATGCCATCCGGTGCCAGCAATGTAGTAAGAAGACTACCAGACACACCTCCTATGGAGGGTGATCAGGCCATGTCAGGTCAGTTTAATAAAACCCTTTCAGAAGCGTACAAGATGTATGTTGGATTTTATTTTCACTGAACCATTCCTTTAGCGAAAATTACAGTAGGTGTTTTTTATGGTCAAAATCAGTTCCATTTTATTGATTCAATATACAACAAATGTGATTTGGGGTATATATGTGCTTTTAGCAAATAAAGTATTGAAACTTTTACTAGCCCTGATAAAACTTTGTGCTTCTTGGCCTTTGGGAAAAAATCTCTATGAATTTTGAATAGTAATATCATATACTCGTAAAAGCATAATTGTAACCAGTATACTGTTTGTATTAGATTCAGTGACACAAGAGGCACAGTCTATGGATACTGACAATTTCACTCAATCCATGGATATGGACTTAGAATCATGTGAAAAAAGGTAAATATCCTTACCATGATACTATATAATACTATGATATCCACACTCTT